TGGTATCGTACTACTTTGATCGACGAAATAGCGTGCAACTCCCGGAGAGCTGAGACTTTTTGTGTAGTAAGGGTATAAATACCGATACACTGTAACAAAAAATTACATGAGCGAGGACGTTTCGGTCCATCAAGTCATATACATTCCTCTTCAGTACCATAGCTGGGTCTCATGAATACGACGTTTGTGATATTGATATGAGGTGCAATTGCTAATAGCGAACTTTCAAACAAAAACCCCAAAAAAAGAGAAGGGATTTTAATAAAAGCAAGGAAGCGAAGTTTTCCCACAAGCAAGGAGTCAAATTTTCTCTTTTATTAAACTACATTCTGCAGCAAACCAGCGAAACATTAAAGTGGTACTGAGAAGGAACTGTTGCCGGTAAACTCGCTCCCCGAATGAATATGCGGTTATTAGCATTAAGGCAGGGCGCCTTCAGTGGTGTTGAATTAAATAATTGGCCAACGCACGGGCTGCCCGCGTGAAGATGCGTTTTTTGCATAGTTCCCCGCAGTTTTTGTCACTACCGGCACCGGTTTTTCGGCAAATGCTTCTAGCTAAAAAAATTAAGATTGGCCGCCAGGACTGTTAGGAAAAACCCCATTAAAAATTCAGCTTTTTAGCTTTCTTGGCTCCTGAGTTAGCAACTTGGCAGGCCCGTGCGTGGGTATCACGCACACCCGAGGGGCTGGGTTTGAGCACATTAATATTCACTTGGACGGGGAATATCTCCTTTAGATTTCAGCATTCTAGCTTCTCAGATCCTCGAGTTATGAACTTACCCGAAAAAAATTTTGGCGGGTCCGTACGCGGGTACCACGTTTACCGGGGCTGGGTTTGAGTGCATTAACACCTACTTGGACGGGCAACATCCCCCTAAGATTTCAGCTTACTAGCTTCTCAGATTCCCGAGTTATGAACTTACCTGTAAAAAACTTTGGCGGGCTCTTACGTGGGTACCACGCAGGTAATGGCGCCCATTTCGGGGATTGGGGCCCATACATGCATGTAGTTGAAGTTCCAAAAGTTTCAGTCCTGCAGCTTTTACAGGTCTTGAGATGAAAAGTCAGAATAGACACACGTACAGACACACGGACAACCTCTCGTCAATATGCGTTTTTGCATTGCATAGCTGCAAAAAACGCATAATAATACGAATGTGGGAAGCGAATTGCTGCGGGATACGCTGAAAAGCTGATAATGAATCCCAGGGATGTTGCTCCAGAAAAGTTCCTCAACTATTTTTGTACTGCCTTTTATTTACTGAATATGCAACATCGTATTGGTCCTTTTAAAACTGATCTATTTACCATCATTGCGCAAACTATATCGAACTTGACTACATAGTAGATAAACCTATCTCGTTAGCAAATTCCATTCATGCGAACAATTGCCCTGTCAGAAGAGGGTGTATAGTGTAAAATATTGTGTTCCTACGCATATCTTCCCACCAACATGCAAATTTGATCAGTGGCACAGTAACAAAGTTGGCAGGAACTTACTTTTTATGCGTTTTTGCATGTATGCAAATGCGAAAACGCATACTGCGACGACCCCGGTGTGTGTGTGTATGTATGTGTGTGCGTCTGTCCAGGTACTTCAACTCAGCAACCAAGCAAGCTCAGGCACCAAAATTTAGCCAGCGGTTCCCTCGGCCAAATACTGCCCAGGATTGTAGTCTGGACCCCGCGTACTACCGCGTGGAAGTTTTAGCGGGAAAACTGGGAGGACGAAATTTTGATCCCAGCTCACGCAGGACTAGAGCCAGGTGGTGCGCGTGATTCTCACGTGCGAGTCTGAGGAAATCTTTGGCGGAAAAATTGCTAAATAGACAACCAGAAAGGCTGGAGAGCTGAAATTTTAACGGACTATTCCCCGTCCAAGTGCCATGTAGTTGCACAATTATCTCCCCGACTTCGAAGTTCAGTATGTCACAAATTCTAGCTATTAGGATCCCAAACGGTCTTACTGCAACACGAAATACTGCAAAAATGCATTATCGCACGGGCTAGCCTAGTGCGCGTCGCCAGTGATTTACCTCTCACTGAGCATTCCTTGCTCGCAGGTTTTGTCTGTAACCAGAAATACAATCCAAAGCGATTTAGATCGAGTGGTGCATACGATATTTCGGGCGAAACACAGCCGCAGAACTCACAGGGTAACGTACTGATCTCTTCCACGGCGGGTAGTTCCAGTTATGCGTCGGTGAGGGATAATCACGAAGGAGAAATCGGCCGTTTTCGCAGTCAAAATATGGCGCTAATTTCGGGAGGAATAGTTAAGTGAATTTTCAAGGAACCTCGAAATAACTTAGGCGCGCAGCGTGATAAGCCGGTGAAGATCAGAACGAAGGAAAAGAGAACGGGCAAGTATGTCTGCGTCCGGTACTTCATCTCTGCGACTTTCGGCCTCGGCGGCATCCTGTGTGCAAATATTTCGAGATTCTTATTTTGCATTGCACTGCACATAACTGTTTAAAAACAGATTTTTTATTATCAGGAATATAGCAACTTGTACGAGTAACAAATTTCATAAAAAGTAACTGTTGATATTTGCCAATTTAGCTTCCCACAAATAAAACGTAATTTGCTAAATTCCAATTTCGTGACATTTTCAAGGTAACGGTTCAAAAACCACAAGACCATGGAATTTTTGTGATTCTTGCA